AATTTCCAAAATTCAAAGTAAAAAAAAAAAAAAAAATTATGTTGGTCCTTTTTTATCGCCTCAAAACTTTAACTCAACTTCGTTTAAATCGTACTTGTATAAAGTGCTGTCGGCAGGTGCAAATCGCTGTACGTGCGAAGGGTTGTGATATTTTTCTCGAGAACTAAATAGTTTTCTCGAAATCCTTTCGAGTGCTGAATATTCGAAATTACTGGTTTCTAGAAACTCAGAACGGGAAACTGAATTCATGGAAAAATTCACGATCGAAATTTTGGTTCGTTTTTCGGCGTGTGGCAGATTACGAAGGCACATTTGTCGGTCGCGTGTGTGGGTCCATTCTATTTTACTTGAACTAAATCTTGGCTTACAGACAAAACGGACACCGCACTGTACGACAACACGGTAAGTTGAAAAAAGTAGACACGGCTGGTGTTTAACGTGTCATTTTGCACACTAGCTAGCGTGCCATTTTGTTCATTAGCGTGTCATTATGCTTAGTAGCGCGTCATTTAGCTCAGCCAGCACTGCGTTGTTTCATAGGACACGATTCTCTGTGTTTACCCAAAACGAAAATATTAATTAAACGTGCCTGATGGCACACTACTCGCACACTAACGTGTCATTTTGCACACTCCCTGTTGATTAGCGTGTCATTTTAGTGTGTCCGTACATCACCTTATTCCCTGAAATTTCGTGGAGGGTCACACTTAGAAGTTTCACTCACCGGAATAAAGAAGTGATGAAACTCTTTACTGGCGTTGAACTTGTCTGAGTTGTTATACTTATCAGATGGCAGGAGTTCGCACAGAAGTTTCCTATTGACGTCAGGGAAGGCAGCAACGTTGTAAGAAAAACACGAAGGAATTTCTAGACAGGCGTAGCCACAATCGTTTTCGTCTTCAACAAGACTCCGTCCAATACTTGTGATACTCAGGTAGGAAAATTGATCGATCATGAAGTTGACATAAAATAGGCCACCAATCGACCCTTGGCTGAAAGCTTTTCAAGAGAAAGGAGGACACAAATATGTTAGCTTGAGAAATGAGTTTGAAATATGTTCCTAATGAACTTGTTTATTAACAACATAGTCTGCAATAGAAGGAAACGTTTTACCTTTAGAACGACTTGGAAAAGCAGCAAAGATCCCCAATGCGAAGACATAATAACTGGGAAGTACTGGGAAGACTACCATCTTTATTAGAGTTAAAGCGCTTTACCTTAATTAGCCTTTTAAAAAGGTTTCCCCTTAACGGAAAAAAGCCTTCACCTTTTTGGGTCTAAATGTAGTTGTTAGCCTCCGGCTTGCTGTCGAAACTGACTATTAAAAGCACTACAATTGGGTATTTCAGTAATTCACTGACAAATAAATTGTCACCCCTCTTCGGACTCGCTACAACGCTACCACTATAAGCAACAGATTGCCTTAAGTCAATAACTCCAACCACAGCCAGTAATGTAGGAGCTGCTCGCAAGCTGTGTCCTTATTGGTCGCAGAATACAATAACACATCATCGTTTATCATTATTTGACATTGTTTCACGGTCAGGGTATCGAAGCTATTGTCATTTAATATCAATACCAGAAATACCATTTAATATCAATATTTGAAACCAGTGGTTTCAAATATACCACTAAAGGCGGGTGTCAAGAATACAGTGGTTCTTGCCTCTTCCTCTTCCTTAATATCAATACCAGTGTTAACAACGCAAATAATCTTTTCCCATACACTACTAACATTAAAATATTATGGTAATAGAGCTAAATAAATGTGAAGGTAAAGATGACAGGGACGAGAAAAGTTCAATAAGGCGGGGGACTTCAATATAGTCATCTTCAGTCTGTAGGAAGTCTTCAAGTAAACTCTCGATCACTATCCGATATTCGGCTTAGTAGATTTATTGAGGGTGGAACTGAGTTCCAAATCTTAACACGATACGTAAAAAAAAAAAAAACAAAACAAAGAAAAAACAACAACAATAACAACAACAAAAAAAAAACACGTAGAAAACATTCAAGAAATGGAAGAGAAATAAAGAAAGTTACGGAGCACCAAGATTCACTTCCATTGTGCTAAGCTCCCGTCAAATACACAGATATATAATACTTCAAAAAGCGTAGAACAGTATAAACATATAAAACAAAATTAAACAATAGCCACTGAACCTCCCATCACTCAAAGTCCTCTATCTTCCTATAAAATAGTCAAGATTGGCCTCTTAACGTTGAGTGCGGCAACTATTGGTTTCAAATATACCATTAAAGGCGGGTGTCAAGAATACAGTGGTTCTTGCCTCTTCCTCTTCCTTAATATCAATACTAGTGTTAACAACGCAAATAATCTTTTCCCATACACTACTAACAAAAAAAATAGTTCTTCTATTCCTGCCCCCGTCTTTTGATGACTTTTATTTGGTGAACAAAGATATTCGTGACATTTTTTAAGTATACTGATTTTGTTGCGAAGTAATATCATTTTATTTTGTTACCTCTCACGCAACGCACGGCAACTGAACGGATAAGAAAACGGATAATGAAAAAGAGAAAGGATTGAATTGCTTATAACCATAAATAAATAAATAAGCGGAAGAAGAACGATATTCAAATTCAGTACAACACAAGCGAAAATTATAAAGCTGGAAATAAATTGAATGAATTTCATGCAACAAGTTACGGTTTCCTTGTTCACACAATTAGCAAAATTGCTTTTCTAGGCAGGACAATAAGAGTTTACAATTATATTTACAACTAGAAATACGTTTTCGCAAAAATCTTGCGAAGCTAACGGGTTCAGCAGTGAGAATAAACAGTAAAAAGCCAAAGGGTAAAAAACGATGAAAGAAAAAAAAAAAAAGGGAATAGTGGCGTCGGGGTTTGAACCCAGTTGCACCCCAACTTCCTCCAGGGAAAAAGTGCGGCCCCTGACCACTTGGCCATGCGACCAAAGGGCCGATTTTTCTATCGAAATTAATAGCGTTTAAGTATTTTCTTCTGCCATTCACACTGTTTGAAGCTTATGGAGATGTATTTATCATGAATTCAAAGATATATTTGAGGAAAAATAGCTCAAACGAGTATTTCGAAAAAAATTCGCATTTTTCCGTGTTTATTCACTCTCGGGCTTTATATAGGCCGCTCGATTAACGGACTGGTCTTCTTCTTCGCTGCTTTCGCTGAAGTTTAGGTCACCGTTCTTTCGGTGTTAAACTTCCAAGGCAAGGATTTCCAGCCACTTGTCCAGTTGGGCACTGTTGTGTTTGCACCCCGCTGTTATTTAGACTACGAGAAGTCCCCCATTTTTCCTCAGGGATGATAGAGCGAGCGAAACGCGAGCGCGCGTGAAAATTTCCCCACGCGAGAAAAGGCTACACGCGGCGGGGAGAGAGAAAAATGCTGCGCGCGCGACAAAATTATAAACTCGCTCCGCGAGAAATATATTGTTATAAGAAATAACACACAAACACTCACACACACAAATAGCAAAGAAGGAAAACAAGGGAAAAGAACAATGAAAGAAAAGAAAGAAAACTCACCATAATTTAACCGACAATTAAGTAAACTATAAATAAGAGAAAACACTATAAACAGGAGAAACAGAATTCTTAAAATATTATGGTAATAGAGCTAAATAACTGTGAAGGTAAAGATGACAGGAAAGAGAAAAGTTCAATGAGGCGGGGGACTTCAACATAGTCATCTTCAGACTGCAGGAAGTCTTCAAGTAAACTCTCGATCACTATTCGATATTCGGCTTAGTAGATTTATTGAGGGTGGAACTGAGTTCCAAATCTTAACACGATACGCAAAAAAACAACAACAACAACAACAACAAAAAAACACGTAGAAAACATTCAAGAAATGGAAGCGAAATAAAGAAAGTTACGGAGCACCAAGATTCACTTCCATTGTGCTCAGCTCCCGTCAAATACACAGATATATAATACTTCAAAAAGCGTAGAACAGTATAAACATATAAAACAAAATGAAACATTAGCCACTGAACCTCCCATCACTCAAAGTCCTCTATCGTCATATAAAATAGTCAAGATTGGCCTCTTAACGTTAAGTGCGGCAACCATTGGTTTCAAATACACCATTAAAGGCTGGTGTCAAGAATACAGTGGTTGCCTCTTCCTAAACCCGCCCCGCTGTCTCCCGCCCCTTAAATAGATTTGTTAACTCTCCGTTACACTACATTTGAACCTAACATAGACGCCAGGGTAAGCCAGGGAACGTGCAAATATTGGTTCTGGACCTGGCAACGACAGAACGCGAAATAAAATTAAACGTTGCCACAATTATCGATTAGTGCTTTTAATTCCAATCCGATATAATGAGGCTCGACCAACAATCGAGTGCAAATTCTAAGATAAAGATTAACACATTTCCTTGTAGAGATAAGACTTATTGAACAGTCAAAGCCAGTACCTTTCCTTGTTGTGGTTGGTCTTCAAAGCAGGTGGCAAAATTACCACCAGTAAACACCATATACATCAGTGTTATTTTCGTTGATGTGAAATTCTATTAAAATCTATTTTCTCTTTAGATTATCAGATCACTATAAGGCAGAAAGGTAGAGAGAGTAAAGAACACCATCAAGTAAGAGCTACGGTGTTGATGTGAAGCTATATTCTCAAAAGTAATTAAAGAAATGTACAAGGATGTCATTTAGAGAATTTCCATGTTGACTTAGTTATAAACAGTTTATCTCAAAATTATATTGCAAACAACAAATTAGAGCGTGAGGAAATACGCGGAGTTATTTTGTGAATGACGCGAGCGAAATTGAAATCGTAATAAAACAGTTCTCATGCCTGTCGTTTGATTTTCTTTCTACGTGTATGAAAAATTTGAATCTGGTAAATTGAAATGTTACCTTGCGTATGCGGGAAACTTGTAGAATACAAAAAAAAGAACGTAGGCAGATTTAGCAAGAGACCGCAACTTTGAGCCACACACATCGACCTGATTCTAGATGCGAAATTGCTGATTTCGCCATTTTTATGGAGCAATTCGGAGAGGAAATAAGCCCACAAGGAATACATGACCCTGATGAAAACTCAGCTGAAACCAAAGATAAAGATTCAAAGAAAGATAAGATGAACTCAACTCTAGCTGGGAATTGCCCAAAACCAGTTTCAAAACGTTTGCATTTTATGTCCTTGTTCGGACCTGGACCGCCGACTGGAGAGTCTTTCACATCGGTTCACTTAGTTTATCTCATAGTCTTCCTTGTTCTCATTGCATCGTCGTATGTTTTATTCCTTCCAGCGATAAAAACCGTATTAGCGGAGAGATTCTTTTGTTTGTCTACCTCAAATGAAACATGGATAAAGAACTGTCAGATGATGCTGCCATACTCATTTATTTACAGAGTGTACTTCGCTTGCACGACCTTCTTTGCAGTTCTCTGTGTGTTGTTTCTTGCCTGCCCGACAAGCAGTTCTCTCCGGGACAGATTTAATTCGGGTTTCTGGATTCCAAAACTTGCATTTCTCATCTTATTAGTACTTTGCGCGTTGATGATTCCACGAGGTGGGTTTGGATTGATATGCATGTATTTTGGAATGGCAGGTTCTTTTCTTTACACTTTAATACAGTTTGTATTTCTCATAGACGCAGGCAGGGGGTGGAATGTATTCCTTATGGGCAAGACGCAGGAATCAACACCGAAGTTCTGGCACTTCTTGCGGTTATTATCAGCAGGCTTAATGTATCTGGCATCAGCGACTGTAGTTGTGTTTCTTTTTGTACTCTATAGCAAGCATGACAGTTGCAAGACAAATGTGCTGTTGTTAACAGGGATAGTTTCCCTCTGCTTGCTTTCCATTTTGATTTCAATCACTTTGGACTCGTGGGCAGACCGTTTGTTGGAAACAAGTTTCGTGACAATGTACGCAACATACTCCACCTACTCATCGATAAGATTTGGAGAGACTGAATGCTCTGCAGAGAGAGAATACGCGGTCAAAACTGGTACAGAGCCAGATTTAAATTTTTACACGATAGTGAACGTGATAATAGCTTTCTCTTTGCTTGTTTTCGCGTGCTTGCGAAAGCCTCAAGTTCATTACACCAAGTTTGGACGGTGTGTAGTCTCAAACGGCAAGACATCACACACCACTGAAATAAGCGAAAACTCTTCAGACGCTACAGGAGTTTACAACTCTTCGCTTGTGTATTTCGTTTTCTCCCTGTTCCTGCTACACAATATGATGACTATTACGAACTGGTACAATCCTAGAGAAAACATTTATGGCGAGTTCACTGCTAACTGGATAGCACTGACATTGAAGACATTAAGCAGTCTTATTGTAATACTTCTGTACATTTGGAATCTAATAGCATCGAGTTTATTTCCTGAACAAGACGTGAACTCTATACAGGGAATGCTGAAGTCATTGGGTATGTTCACATGCAGATCACTCTATATCTTGTTCATTCAGCCATGTCCATCGTGGAACCAATCAAAATCGACTAGGTTTATCTATACTTTCTTCCTACTGGTGGGAACAGCAGCTTCGTCCGTCATGTACCTTCCCGGGGTTCGTCGCGTACTGGAGAGTAACCCTTACTTTTGCAGCAAACTCACAAGGATGGGCAACTGCCTGAGCATGGACCCGGCTTATTTGGCAGTGTATAGGATCTGTTTTTCCATGGCGGCTTTCTTTCTGTTGTTTTCTGTCATTCTTTATTCAGTACGGACTTACAGCGATCCGCGAGCTTTAATTCACAACGGCCTTTGGATAGTTAAATTTGGCCTGTTTTTTGGTCTTGTCTTATTCACATTTTTCATTCCTATGGAATTCAGCAGAGTTTGGATGTACTTCGGGCTTGTTGGCACCTTTTTCTTCATTGTCATTCAACTATTTTTGTTAGTGGACTTCACTCGTCTTTGGAATAAGACATGGGCTCGCAAAATGGAAGAATCTGGAAATAAATTCTGGTTTTACTCGGTCTTCATTTCCACGTTAGCCTTGTACGTTCTTTCAGCAACATCCATCGTATGTTTTTACGTATTTTTCGCAGCTTCAAGGAAATGCACCACCAACAAAATGTTCGTGAGCATAAACCTTGTCTTGTGCGCTGTAGCTGGCATTATATCAATCCACCCAAAGGTGCAAGACGGCGGTTTGTTACAGTCCTCTGTAGTGACAGCATTTGCAATGTACTTGACGTGGTCAGCATTATCGTACAACCCAAACGAGAAGTGTAACCCTGTCGCGACCTTCATCTCTGAGGCAGACATGAGACCAACTCTGAACATCCAAGCTTCGCTAGACCTGTTAATTCTGGTAATTACCATTATATATTTCAGCGTACGGATATCAACGCTGACGGACACGCTACGGAAGCTAGGAGCAACGACAGTTAGGTTGATCGTTGGACTTCGCCGTCGCAAAGTGAAAGACAGCGAAGATTCGGACGCTGAGGGGGAGAAGAACACTTACGTAGCAACAGATGAAACTAGCCATCTTGCACAATTTGAATTAACAGATGAAAAGGTTCCTTATAGTTATTCCTTCTTCCATTTAGTGTATTTTGTTGCCGCTCTTCATGTCACCATGGTGTTAACTAACTGGTATTCGCCAAAAGATGGCTCGAATATAAAGCTCTCCATTGCCTGGGCTGTCATGAGCATAAAGATGACTTCTAGCGCGATGTGCCTTCTGCTTTATATTTGGAGTTTAGCGGTTCCAATTTTACTCTACAATAACAAACCTTGTTAATCTCTCACCCTTTTATAACTATAGTTTTACTGCCGAATAACTGCAGTAACTGAGGAAGAAGAAATTAATGCTCCCAACCCATGAAAATATCAAACAAGACAACAACAACAGATCTGTGGGAGAAAAGGGGGAAGGGGATAAGTGCTCGAGTTGCCAATTGGAATCTTACAGGATGACACAGGTCAGGTGGTTGGGAACGAGAGGACTCACCCAATAAGAACATTATCACGCAACAACAACACAACAACCAGGCTGAAGAGAAGTCCTAATCCTCTCTGTGGGGTCCTGATCCCCAGGCCCTGAGAGGTGGTAATCCTTTCCCTCCTTTCCACGAGTCCACCAAGTCCCCAGGCTACAGAGAGGTCCTAATCCTCTCTCTGGGATCCTATTTCCCAGGCCCCCTGGGGACAAACACAACAAGAAAGGTTAGCTCCTTGTTACCATGGTAACAAGGCTGTCTGGGGGGCCCATTTTGCCACAATAGCTGAGCATGTGAGTCTATGGGGCAAACGGACGACCTGTATGGAGCACTTCATCCCCTTCCTACGGTTTATTTACTTTAAAAGACAAACAATGAGAAATGTTGTTCTAAGTCTGTTTAACTAACCGATCAGTCGTCATAGGCTGTTGCAGCTAAAAGCAAAGAACAAAATGTTTGGATTAACTGATGCTACATATGTAGGATTGAAAAAAGCGCTCAGTGAGTTAACATAGTCCAAGTGTCGAAAACACAGCACTATGCTTGAAACAGTAACAGTTATATCTGTAGCAATACAGTTGATAATATTCTAGTTAGAAAATTACCCTGCTCACAGAGAGCCAAACAATAACAGTAACAATAAATTATAAGAATGTCTCAATGAGCAAACATACCGCTCAAGTCCAACAGCACTGGGCTGGATAATTATAACCTCTGTAACAATAAAGATATGGGCTCTCGACATAGCAGTAATTATTTATAAAATTATGCTAAGAAAATTTGCACTACTCACAGCGAGCCAAACAATTAACCCTAACAATAATAAGAATGTCTCAATGAGCAAACATACTGCTCAAGTCCAACAGCACTGGGCTGGATAACTATAACGCTTTAAACATTTAAGATAGGCAAGGAACTCTCTACATAGCACTATGACTAGTGTAGCAAAACAGCAAATGTAACACTTAAATAATTATGTACATGGCCCAGAGAGAACCTGATAGGGTCGGGGGGTGGTGGTGGGGGGGGNCCTCCTCACAGCGTAAACTGCATAAGAAAAGAAGCAAGGAAATCTCAAAAAAGAATAATGAAGAGAGGAGAAAAAAAGAAGAGGTAAGTTGTAAATAATTGGGGGGGGGGGGGGGGGGGGGGGGGGGGGGGGGGGGGGGGGGGGGGGGGGGGGGGGGGATTTCTCAAACAGTCTCTGGGAGGTCAGAGAACTTGAAGTGAACTACAGATGTGACGGTACGGCCGCATGGTCTTTCATTGACAAAAAGGAAAGGAATCGATGTGATTGGTCTAGAGATAAAACGTCACAAAGGGGGCAAACCGTGAACCTTGTCACGGCAAGATATTGCGTGACAAACCGTTTATTTCAGAAGGGTAACTCATATAATTTCTCTGACCTCCCTTTCATGGTTGTTTGCATTAACTTAAATTTATATTATAAATTGGCTTTAAAGTACAGCTTTGTACCAAGAAACACGATAATTATTGTTCAAAAAACCTAGAAAACTTTTAAGTTGTTCAGTAGATGGACCATGTATGGCTGATATATCAAACACTAAAGGCAGTTCTGTAAAGAGCAAACAGCATGCTTCCTTCATGTTCTCGTTTTTTGATGAGTCAAAAGATTCAACAACATTGAAACAATAAGAACCGCCACCAAATTCAACAAAACATATAAATTACTGCTCCAGACATGAAAAGAATGTATAAATACCACAGCAAATGGCGCCCTGATGGACAAACTTGAATAAGATTGATACAGACTGCAATAGACCATTTTACCGATTTGGCGGCCATATTAAATAAGTTAGATTTAAGGAGTATTATGGGATGCCCAGGGGGCATAAGCACATTCCGTTTAGTATTTACGAGCGCCCTTCTGGGCATTTTTTTTTTTTTAAGTTTTCTTAGAATAAGATTCTAATGGGAATAAAGATCGTTGTGCCGGGATTGGATCTATCAATGATCGCATGTTCACCGTGAAATATACAGTGAAAGACCACACTTCTAATACTGAGAGAGTATATCGAAACATGCTCATGCCCCCTTGGGCATCCCATAATACTCCTTAAATCGAATTAATTCAATATGGTCGCCGTGTCGGTAAAAAGGTCTATTGTATTTTTTGAAAACTTCATGCTAGCCTAACCGTTTTTCAAAGTTTATTTTTGTCGTTTTCAACGTTTGATACAATACCTGGACGACATATTTGTTGGACACAAGATTTCATTTTGTCATTTACAAGTAATTTTTCAAGTTCGATAACGAATAGGGATGCGCAATCGGCATTATGAGCGAAATGAATTAGACAGCCGTAACACAGCCCCTGGCCTAAAGGAGATGAAAAGATAGTTTAAACTGTCGTATCAATGACGGGTGCTTTTTTTCATTTCTGTACCTTTTTTACGGCTAGTTTTAAAGCGCATTGTTTGTTTTATATGTATAATTCCATCTGATTACTGAGTGGTCTGAATGAAATCTGTCTCTAAGAACCACAGCACGTAGAGCTTTAGTTCATCACCTTTTTTTTTTAAACATATTTGACGTTCTAAGTATTCCAGATGTTCCCATACCAGGAACCTCTTTGCAAATATTTAAGAAGAACAATTGAGTTTCCACAGAGAAAACTCCTTGGTGATTCTAATTCGCCATCAAGCGCTGGCTTTCGATAATCCCTCCACTGCGACAAGCAACTGCGGATCAAACCTTGACGAAATCTGGGTTAAAATTAGTTGAATGTGTTGCTTTACCAAATCCACGGCCTTGACAGTTACTTCGACTAGATCCCCAAGACCGACCTTCCCTTTAAATTGTCCCATATTACTGTTGTGTATCAAGCCATCCCTACCGACACCGCAGTCCACAAACGCACCAAATGAAGTCATGTTTGTTATGCGGCCACTCAGCTGCGTCCCCGGGTGAAGGTCTGATAGTGACGTCACGTTCCGTTTGAATAAGGGTTTCTGAAAATCTAATTATAGAAACATGAAAACTGAATGGAATTTAAAACAATTTCGTAAAGGCTTGCAAAGTCAAATGTAAACAAACAGGGGTAACGAGACAAAAATTGAGCTGACTTATTTATCAACTTCACTACAGGTCTACTTACTGACTCTTATGTCCTGGTCTGTTGGTTGTCTAAGACCGTCAATTATGTTGTGCAGTGTAGGAACGCCAACATTTAAGCGCCCTGCTAGCTCTTCAATCTCTGCNGTGATTCTAATTCGCCATCAAGCGCTGGCTTTCGATAATCCCTCCACTGCGACAAGCAACTGCGGATCAAACCTTGACGAAATCTGGGTTAAAATTAGTTGAATGTGTTGCTTTACCAAATCCACGGCCTTGACAGTTACTTCGACTAGATCCCCAAGACCGACCTTCCCTTTAAATTGTCCCATATTACTGTTGTGTATCAAGCCATCCCTACCGACACCGCAGTCCACAAACGCACCAAATGAAGTCATGTTTGTTATGCGGCCACTCAGCTGCGTCCCCGGGTGAAGGTCTGATAGTGACGTCACGTTCCGTTTGAATAAGGGTTTCTGAAAATCTAATTATAGAAACATGAAAACTGAATGGAATTTAAAACAATTTCGTAAAGGCTTGCAAAGTCAAATGTAAACAAACAGGGGTAACGAGACAAAAATTGAGCTGACTTATTTATCAACTTCACTACAGGTCTACTTACTGACTCTTATGTCCTGGTCTGTTGGTTGTCTAAGACCGTCAATTATGTTGTGCAGTGTAGGAACGCCAACATTTAAGCGCCCTGCTAGCTCTTCAATCTCTGCAAGCGATCAAGAAAATGAAAAATACAGAAGTCAGTGAGGTACATTAGCTAACTTGGAGAAGATTATGGGCAACCACGAACAAGTGAGTAAGGATCTAAGAGCATCCTGTAGCAGAAAACTGGTGAACGCATTTCACCAAGCGATGTTGACTTCAGTTGGTGTTAAGAAACCAACGACAACAAACCGGCAAAGCTGTCATGCTACGGCCCCAAAAAGTAAGCATGCAGAAGTGTGGCAGCTGCTATTGTTTAGGAGTTTCTACTACATTGTACAAGCAAGTCTGCATCGTGATATCCATGTATCTATGCTTTATAGCAACAATTAAAACGCCAAACCCTCGCACCATAAAGAAAAAAGGGAAGAAGGACCGTCTGATCGCAGGCATCTTGTAGCAATAGGCAGAAAACTAGGAAACGCTTTTCATCAAGCGATGTTAAGTTTAGTTGGTGTTTATCAAGAAACGTTTTTAATACTTATCGGTTGGTTAGACACAACTTATAATTCAAGGATAGAGTAAGTGTGTGGAGTTGCAGCCTTCGCAGAAAAAAAAAAACAAACAAACAAAAAAGAAAAATCATCATTAACAACCACAACAACAACACACCGGCAAAAATCCCACAGATATAATCAGCACTTCTGACTTTGCGTAAGCAGAAGTGTGGCAGCTGCTATTGTCTTGGAAGATGGGGGCATCGTTACTTTTATTTACTCCGACTATTTCTCAAAAGGGTATAGAGCTAATCATTTGAGACGTTACGAAAGCTGCTAAGCCTGCGAGCAAGCTCTCCGCGGTGCTTTGGCGGCGGAGTGGGAAAAGAAAGGAGGACTTGCAAATACGTCTCTAGAATTCGATTTCCACCTCCAGTTCCCCTGTGGCTCCCCGTTGACTGAGCGGTCAGATTTCCGCCAATCAGCGCGAATGTAAACAAATATTGAAAAAAAAACACGTGCCAAGGGTAATGACGTCATTACTTGTCATCTCCGCCAATGAGCATATCACA